GCCCCCCTCTGCCAATCCCTGCACTGGCTTCCAATAGCCCAAAGGATAACATTCAAAATGTTAACAACCACTTACAAAGCCCTCCACAACTCCGCCCCCGTCTATATCTCCAACCTCGTCTCAAAGTATCACCCTAACCGTCCCCTCTGCTCCTCCCTAGACCTCCTGCTCTCTCTCACCCTCATCAACTCCTCCCATGCTCACCTCCAGGACTTCTCTCCCATCCTCTGGAACTCTTTACCCCAACCTGTCCATCTATCTCCCACTCTGACTGCTTTTAGGCGATCCCTAAAGACTCATCTCTTCAGGGAAGCCGATCCCACCTCAACCTAACCGCTCAACCATTCATCCCCACACAGCTACCTCCTCATGTATCACTGGCCCCTCCCCTTTTAGATTGTAAGCCCTCAGGGGCGGGGCCCTCCTTACCATCTTGTCTTGAACCGTATTGTGATTGTAATGTCTTCCTTATATTGTACAGCGCTGCGCACACTGTTGGCGCCATATAAATCCTGTATAATAATAATAATGTCGCTTTGGTTGCTTGAAGAAAGTATTTGTAATGAAGAGGTGATTGTAGCTACAAATGCTCATTAGTCCAGCTTCTGCTTCATTTCTGTTCCCAAGACTGTATGTCCTTCCTTCTTACTCCCTACCCAGATATTCTAGTCACTAGCCGTATGCATTGCCTGCAGGTCTTGTCGCGATGATACAACTTGTATAACTGAGACATTGAATGGCTGCGCTGGAAATCGAATTGATATTAGTCAGTCATGTACGGCCATATATCCAGGGACAGTCGTGTTCATGTCCAGGGCCGGATTTCCCACAAGGCCACCGAGGCCCAGGCCTCGGGGCGGCAGAGCGCAGAGGGGTGGCAGCGGTGACCTTGTGGGGAAGTTGCGGGCGCCGGTGTAAGGTGTCCCGATAAACTGATTAAAAAATTAAATAAAAATTAAAAAAAATTAAAAAAAAAGAAGAAGAAGAAATAATTGAATAAAAAAGAAAAAGTGATAAAAATAAAGAAACAGTAAAAAAAAAACCCGGGCCTTGGGGGATGCAGGGAGGTTAAATCGGGCCCTGTACAGCCATATATCCAAGGACAGTCGTGTTCATGTCTCCGCGGACTACTGTATGAGATCCATTTCTTTGTTTTCCATCACCAGAATAAAAGCTTGTATGGTCTTCTGACTGAAGGTGTCCTAGGCCGGTCCACTTGAGTCCAGATCCCTACAATGGGGATGTTTAAACGATCCATTTACATGGTACAAGTCTAGTTTGTCGTGATTCACACCCATTGAAGCACGTTCCAAGTTCCTACCATAAGCCTAATTCAGGGATCCCAACCTGAAAGAAGCCATTTCAGGGAGGTGCCCTCTAAAAAAAAAGAGGAAATCGCATTCTTATCAGATTTCTGCATCTGTAAGGTTCCGTAAGATACTATAATGGATGAAGCTCTGGTGCTGTTCTTCTGATGACTGAATTTCAATGCCTGGCCTTCTTTGCAGCAGCTGAATGTTGGTAGAGTGCATGTGAAGAATTATATTTCTTAGAATCTGGTAACTCTTTAAAGGAGAAGTACGGGGACGGGGCTTTCACCCAAAGTCCTCCTCAGGGTGACGGGAGGACACAAACACTCTAATGCCCCCCACAGTCACATCAATCTCTGTACAGAGGAGCTTACACTCTAATGTCCCCTCCCCACACAGTCACATCAGTCTCTGTACACAGCCTGCTCCAATGCTGCTTTGGCAATGCTGGGGCCTAGCGCTGATAGGGCCTGACCGATACTCATGTAAGGGTCGTGGGCGGGCCCCCCCCCAGGCTGCCTGGGCCCCTTACATGAGTATCGGCCATACCCCCGCCGAAGGCAGCCCTGGCTCCTGGACTCTTGAAAAGTGAGATCTGATTGCTTGGTATAGTTCTTTGATCTTTGCACTGTCGCATGAAACTCATACAGTGGATTGACTCGAATTCAACTCTGTTTCTTCCCAGGGGGCGGTGGAAAGCGGAAGGGGAAGAGTAAGAAGTGGAAGGAGATCTTGAGGTTTCCGCACATCAGTCAGTGCGAGGAACTCCGGCGGACTACAGGTTAGCAATACCCTGCGGGGTCTCCAGTGAATGATGGTAACTAATACATGAGGTGTAGTCCTGGAGACCCCTGGGGTGTCCGGAGATCATAGCCCTCTCCATACACAGTAACCTACTCTCACTATATGTATGAAACCTGTAGAGAGACAACATGGCCTCCTTATGGAAATGCTAGTTGTCTGGCATATTATATCGATCCGGTGGCATAAAAATACTTCAGTGACCCAGAAGAACCGGTATGTAGATTAGATTTTTGCGGCGCCATATTTGTTCCGGGTCAGTGAGTGTAAACCAACCAGAGATGGTTCGGCATAGAAGGAGCTCAACATTGGAAGCCCCTGTGTTCCTCTCCGTACAGGTTTCACGCAATCACAATAGTGTCAAATATCCCTTTTACTGTCAATGTTCATTCAAGACGCAAAACAAATGCTGGTGTCTGTCTTCTAGAGAAGGATTATTACAACCTGTGTGAGAAGCAGCCGATTGGGAGGTTCCTCTTCCGCCAGTTCTGTCAGACGCAGCTCGAGCTTCAGTGTCTCATCGACTTCCTGGATACTGTGGTAAGATAAACGGAATGCAGGTCAGACGGGTCCTGGGGAGCGTAACCCGAACATCCAACCCTATGCGTCACGTCATTACCACTATCCCTCCATCCCTCCATCACACTCCTCTTACCCTCCATCCCCCGTCCCTCCATCACACTCCTCTTACCCTCCATCACACTCCTCTTACCCTCCATCCCCCGTCCCTCCATCACACTCCTCTTACCCTCCATCCCCCGTCCCTCCATCACACTCCTCTTACCCTCCATCCCCCGTCCCTCCATCACACTCCTCTTACCCTCCATCCC